GTTTTTTCTTAAAAATAATTTATGGTTATGCCTTATTCCTCAATCTTCAAACCTTTGTTACGTCTTTGCGTAGGTAGTACTTACAATACTCATGTATCTATTTTTTTTATATGCATAAAAATATAATATATAATCGACATTAGCAGGTATTTTTTTATTGTTCGGTGGTGATTAACGAAAAAAATATTATTTAGTTCAAACAAAATTGTTTAATATTGTAACGCATTATCGATATAATTATAAGCTTATAACATTCGATTACGCTGTTTTTTATCGTGTTAGAAAAAATTAAATTGAAAAAAATACATTTATGCAATGTGCCCATATGTATAATAGGTATTAAACAAATTATTACATTATTTATTTTTTATCACGCGTACGTGAAGAGATTATGGTATTACAATTTTGAATATACCTACATAGAAACGTGTCAATTACTTATGCAACAGTTATATACCTAAACATCGCATATGTTATTTACTCGAAAGCATTGTTCACCACGAAGTCATAGTATTGTTATTTTTCTTACAGTGTACTTCTGTACTACATTATTACACTTGTGGTCAACTGCAGAAAACCTTTAGATATAGTGTTTAGTGCGTCGTTATAAATGCATATCGATAATTAATGCTTAAATTTATTATTGGCAAGTACTTACCTATATTAAACAGTAGTATACGATTTAGTGTACAGATGTCATAATATATTATAATATGTCTATACCAGTGGCAGCTCGTGAGTCTTTTGAGTAGGGAGACAAACAGAAAATATTTAAAACAATTTATATTATTTAATATTAAAATGTAATTTTATATTTAATACATTTTTATTTTACGTTGCATTTTCTATTTGTAAATATCTTAAAACTTAATAAATTAACTAAAATATAAAGAAACAAAACGTAAATATTATGAATATAAATATATGGTTAAATACAACATTAAATAAGTGCTATTACTATTTTACTTTTTATAAATTAAATTTATCCTTTTGTCATTCAATAATAAATACATATTTACCAATAGTTTTTGCCTATTATTAACTATTAAAAAAAATAGACATATAAACATTTTTCTTCCATGGGAATTGTAGCCAAAAAGAAAACCTTTTTTCTGCCATAGAGTTTCTAATTGTTTTTTTTTTATACATTTTCATAGTTAATTGTTTTATTTTTTAACATCCATCTTCATTTAACGCATCAGCAATAGGTAGTACTTTTATTTTTTCTAAATGAACTAATCCTATGAAGTTAAGCATATTATTTAAAGATATTTCGTGAATTTTAACACTTATAGAAAGATTTTTTCAAAATAGACATAATTTATTCATAGTTTGTAATTTTACCAAATAAAATACTAAGCCAACAATAAAGTCATTGTTTATAAAACCCATAATACATTCGTTTGTGCAAATTGTATCAAACCATGCCAAAAAGAACTTAATTTATATCTGTCTTTTTTTCAATCAGCTCTACTTAAAATATTTTCTAATTTAAGCGTAGAGTGGCTATCAAACAAAATTTGTTTTTCGTATCACTTCGGCGTGAAAAAGGAGTTGAAACTAATAACATATCGTTGAACGGGATTATATTAGATATTTCTCAGTAACGCCAATAATAAATAACAAAATAAAACTGTCAAAATAATATCTTGGTATAGGCATGTACGATAAGTGGAACATTATTGCAATTACAAGTGTAAATTGAGTGCATTGCGGAGTCGACGTATTTATACTACAAATATTTAGGGTGGCCATTCGTTCTGAATATCCCGGGATGTTACCGGTTTAGGACTTTTGCATAGTAATGTCCTGGAAATTATAATCGTTTTTATAATTTTATTCTTTTACTTACTTGGTTATCGATTTTATTTGAACAAATCCTAATGACATAAATTATTTCGGTAACGAACCTCGGAATGTACGACAATCACATTTATAATATGATCATGTTATGATTCTAAATTTCTAGTACTATGATTACGAAAAATAATATTAATAATATGTATTTAACAGAATGTATATAGTTTACAGTTTATACATCTGACGATACAAGTCGTAAGCTAGTGCAAAATACTTTATAGTGTCATAATTTTATATAGTTCATTATTTTACATAGCGACTCTGTCGCCTAAAAGACTTTGTCATTTTAATGAAAAGTTGCAAAATTATTTCCCATTTATTAAAAAACTTAAATCTACTGACGATTTTAATGTACTTACAGTGTAGAACTTGCCATGGAACATTTTCAGTAAGTCATGGTGGACGAACGGACATAAACAATTATTTCAAAACGCAAAAACATAAGTTAGCTATAAGATCATCAGTTCAATCTGATAAATTTTTCAACTATTTTTCTGCTTTGTAATATGGTTGTAAGAATATAGTAACAATAAAATGAATAGAAATAAAAAAAAATATTATATGGCTTCATTAAAAAGGATGCCATACTCGCGAGTGTTTTTTCTCTTACAAACAAATTAACATACCAAATAAACTTTCAATAGAACCAATTTTGTGCTATTAGCTATAATATTAGAGTAAGTTGATATATTATCAAACTTAAGAAGAAAAAGCATGCGTGTTCTCGTAGGATTTTTGGGATATATTAATATATATTAATTTTTAAGCAAATTATCATGTAAAATATATAATTTTTAATTCTTTGATCTAATCATAAAAAGTTCAGTTAAAAATATAGGTAATTTATATTATTTAATGACAATGTATTTTTACGATTTAACTATCAATAACAAAAACAATTTATATATTTTTTAATGCCATTGATTAAATATACTATAATTTTACTGTATATTTCATCAATGCCAATGCTTACTTATTATTTTAAATGTATTAATTTTAAATCGTTTTTCTTTTTTAGTACCTCGAGGAAGTTAAAGATCTTTTCTATTACCTATATAATTTATATCTTATAACTTGTTAGTTCTTATTTTTCTTCAGCTTGCCAACATATCGCACAGGGGCATATTTAGACTTACTTCTAGGGGGGGGGGGGAACTCAAATTTTTTTTTAATTCAGGCTCAAAATTTACAAATACACTTTTTGGTAATATTTAAATCAGGTGAATTCTTAATATTTGTGGTTTTGGAATTCGCGTCGTATACTATTTACATGAGAAATGTATCTACCACAATTGTTTATTGGCGTTGTATGTTATCTAAAATTTTTCACCCCGCAATCTGTAGGTTGCAGGTGTTGTCTGTGTAGGTATCTGGGCATTATAACATTAATGAAATTTTTTTCATGTCTTCAAAAAGCTAGTCAAAAAGATTCTTTGGTACATTGAGTGAACGCCACCACTCTTCCATCAATTGCCGTTCGAATAAGTTAGTGGCACCACCTGTTTTTGTGCCATATTTTACTTTGACACATCTTCACGTAGACTCTATAGATTGGATGTTGGTCCCTGTTTTAAAAATAGACAACTTGAATTTGTGTTTTAAAAATTGTTTTTCTTTTTATTATAAGATTTTGTAAAATTATAACTTGCCATCCCCTCCCCCCTAATCAAGTCTTTAGAGCCGCCCCTGGTTTCTGGATCAATTAAGTGGAGCTGGTGGTTTACAGTTTTATGCACATAGCCGTGGTCACTTAAATTGCTGTAAGCCCTCCATTCGTCCGAGTTGATGTTTATATTTATACGGTTAAGTTAGGTTATACCTGCAATATCAGTCTCTGTACAAAGTAAATATCACCCAAAAAGTAGACAACATATTACGCGATCAAAGTACAGGTAGATAGCATACGACGCGAGTTCCGTGGTTTTTTTTTTAATCTAATGCCGGATCCACTTAAAATCGACTTTTGTGTAGTTCTTTTTCAACACCTGTCTGTATTTTGAAAGTTACGCTTGTGTTTTATTTGATTTTCACTAAGTATGAACCCGACAAAAAGCCCAATTCAGTATTCACAGCTACGAGTAATTTGATTTCATTATAAAATTATTCACATACATTTAAAATGTGTATCATACATATAATCAATTCCTTAAATACAGAAACAGGAGGGGGGGGGGTTGATCGCCTCTTTGCCACTCCTAAAATACGCCCTTGCCATCACAAAACCTCTCCACTTCTCTCTGTCATATGTGTCGTCAAAAATAAAATCCTTTTATATTTTTTATGTCTTGAGCAATGACATCGGGACTTGTTAGTTGTTATAATTAATTAGGTACTATATTACTATAACTCGGAGTTATAGGCGCACATTCAGTATGAAACTTGAGAGTGCTAAAATTATCCGTCCAAGGCGAAGCCCAAACCACAAACCCCATACAACAGTGGTTTCCAACCTTTTTCATCTTATGCCCCATGGTAAATTTTAAAAAATTTAATATATCATAATTATTTTTGTAATTTTATCATCATCATATTTTCTTCCGAATCAACCCAAAATTACCTTCTCCCCCTTGGAAACCACTGCCCATCAATAACTTAGTATAAAATGTTTTAGTTTTATTATTTAATTATAATTGTAGCAATTTTCTATATTATAACTAAAAATATTATTAATAAATATCACTATTTTTTATCAATAAACAATCAAACTTGTAGATCAGGGGTCGGCCAGTAATTTCTATTGGAGTCCTAAAGATTAAAATAATAAATCAATGAGGTCCAGTGAAAATTTTTTTTTTCAAATCTTTATATTTTAAAAATAGCAGCATAAAAATAAAAATAATTATTCAGTTATTACAATTAATTTATATTAAAAATTACAGTATTAAAAGTATGAAAAAAATATATTTATTACAGTAAATTATTTAATGCGAAAAATTGCATTTCTTTTCCTTAGCCAGCTTTTTGAAATCGGGGACTCGTGGAGAACAGCTTATGCGCAATGTGTCCTCAAGGTGAGAGTCTGTTAATTTTGTCCGATATTTGTTTTTCAAAAAATTAATTTTTGAAAACGATGCCTCACAAATATATGTCGAACCAAACATCGTAGCCAAGTTGATTGCCAGTTGCTTACAGTTTGAATACTAGTCAATGGCATCTTTAGCCCAGAATTCTTCAGTTGACGCACTTCTGTACTGCTTCAAGGAAACATCTTCCTGTAGGTTTATTATTTCCATTTGGAGTTTTGACTTTGAAAGATTAAATAATTTTTCAGCTACATCAGTCCATTCTCCGTCTGGGAGACATCGTAAGAGGATTTTAAGAATTGTGATAGTTTTCCTATTTCAGAAAAGCCTTTGAATCTAGCATCGAATTCCTTCATAAGATCTGACAAAAAACTTAAAAATGTTTCGATGTTTATAATTTCAGAATAATTTTTGCATTCAAATATTGTGGGAAAGTGAATGAATTTTTTTTTGTTCAATGTCGCCTTTAAAATATATTTAGTTTGCGACGGAAAGCAGACACACTTTGTATTAAATCACATATTAATCTCCCTTCTCCTTGTAATTCGACATTAAGCGTATTAAAATACTTCAAAATGTCATTTAAGAAAGTCATTGCAACTATATTTCGATTGTTTTCTAAGAAATCCGAATGCTTCTTTGCTTCTTCAGTATCTACATTTTTTAGGAATGTTTTTACTTCTTCTTTAATGTTCCAAAAACGTTCAACTACTCGACCTTTACTGAGCCAACGAACATGATTGTGTTGTAGTAAATCTGAATAAGCCGAATCAAATTGACACAGAAACTCTTTGAACTGTCTGTGTTGAAGAGAAGAACGCGACCTGATAAAATTGATCAAACTGTCCATAACGTCTTTCAGTGTAGCACTGAGTTTACTACAAAGCGATGTTTGATGAATTATGCATTGATAAGTTAATATCCCGGAATTATTATCCCGGATTATTTTTAATAATCCTTTTTCTTTTCCCATCATCGCTGGAGCTCCGTCAGTGGAAATTGACACAATTTTATCATAACTCAAATCCGATTTTTTCATGAAGTCATCAAAACTCTTAAATAAATCTTCTCCACGAGTCTTACCTTCAAATGTCAATATTGCTAGTAACTCTTATCTAAACACTTTATTTTCAATGTCAAAGAATCGCACGAAAATTGACATTTGTTCAGAATCAACTAAGTCACAAGATTCATCAAGCGCAATGCAGTAGCACGGTGACTTATGTAAAAGTTCAAATAAGTTTTTTTTGTTTTCGGCTGCCAACATTTCTGTCCTTCTTGTGTTACTCCTTGCCGACAAAGGAATATCTTGGATAGAGGTAACGATTTTTTTATTTTCTTGAAAAAGTGCAGTAGCCACTTCCAACATACACTCTTTTACTATTTCGGAATCGGAAAACGGTTTTTGGTGCTTATTAAGAACCCAGCACACATGCAACGCTGCTTCAGTTGATTTATCTTGTTCACTCATACACCGTATAAGTGTAGTCGTACTATTTTTGTAAGATGTGCATGGAGCTTATTTTTATGCACTTCACTGCCTGGAGGAAATTTTGTATGAAAATCTTTATGAGTAGTTTCATAATGCCGTTTTAAATTTCCAATTTTAATAATAGCGACAGTTGAATTGCAAATTAAACAGACTGGAATGGTTCCAACCCTTTCAGGCAATATAAAAAATTATAGTTCAGTCCACTCGTTCATAAACTTCCTATTTTCGCTGTCGATTTTGCGTTTTTTACTCAACATATTGAACGAATAATATAAAACGAAACACGCACTGTATCCACCGGCGAATGTACACGTACTAAAACTAAAGAGTTAACGATTTAGTTAACGATAAGCAATAAATATAATTTTACGCCGTCGGTTCTTCGGAGTTCTTAGAAAATCGAAATATTTGGTATTGTCGCGACTCGGCCGTCGGCCGATAACATTGTAATAAAAATTTTTCAATGAATTATGATATAACTATAATCTGAGTTAAATCTGATAAATTAAATTAAATAAATGCCTGTATTAATAATAATACTATTACAGAAAATAACATAATGAAGTACAATGTGTTGACAGGGTCCATAATTTTGCCTTCCGCGGTCCGGATCTGGACCGCGGTCCGCCAGTTGCCGATCCCTGCTGTAGACGGTAAACAAAACCAAAATCCTAAATGGTATTCTAGCAATAAACTTGAACATTATAACAGTATCACATGTATAGGTAACATAAACACAAATACCCAATATCATATGTATTCACATAGTATGAGTACGTTCGTGGGCATTAGTGCATTATCAATGCAAACTGGAGTTTATTCATTCTTATAAATGCAAAATAATCCTCTTTAAACAATAATGTTACCTCAAAATAAGCTGAGGGTACTAGTTTAGAACTCGGGGGTGCTAAGCACTCCCTGACACCTCCGTATGTTCGCCAATGCTCGGAGTATAATAGTTATTACAGTCAGTGGCGTATCCAGGGGGGGGGTTAGGGGGTTGTAACCCCCCCCCCCCTCTCGAAAACTGTTCAATATTTAATTAATTTAATAATCAACTGACACAGCACGCGACACCCAGCGGTCACCATCACACCATTACATTATAACATTAAGATTCTTGTAACTTTCAAGATAACTTTTCGTATAGTGTACGACGTACGTATAAAACTGACCAATAATTATCAAAACCCGAATTAAATGACAGTATGATATAGAATACAGATAACATAATATTAAAACCGATTAACGACTTCTGCGATTGCGATATCGATATCTTACAAACTATAATTCCCAATGTATTTTTACATTCCTTAAACCTTAGTGCATTTTCGAATACTTCAGTTGCGTTTTTCATAATAATTGCCCGTATTGAAATGTTTGCGCAGTCAGTCTGTACTCTGTAGTGATTACACTGATCGCAGAACAACTGTTCACAGCTTTCGATTTGTATTAGCGTCTTATAATTTATTTATTACCGCACATAAAATGAGCAAAGAATCAAAGAATAACATTTTGAAATACATTAGCTCTACTGCCTCAACATCTTCGCAAGCTTTTAAAAAACTAAAACTAGACGACAACGTTATTCAAAATAATGAAATTTCCTTAAAGTCGACATCATCCCAAATTCCGGCTTCTGAACTATTGGATAGTACAAAAAATTTAGTTTCTACTTTTGAAGCACGAAAAGATATTTCTTACTACATAGGAAAGATAGTAAGATTACATAGTAAGATTTACTATTATTTATGTTTTATAAATATTTTAGATTTATATGAAAGGTTACACTTCTGATACGAATTATTATTTTTTATATACTTTGTACATTCATCATTAATACTAATTAACAATATATTTATTAAAATACCCAAATAAATAAAAATAAAATAGATATTTTAAAAAATTTATGGGTACCTGATCCAAATTATAAATTTCCTCAAAGTGACAATAGGAACTTGAGATTTCAAATAAATTGGACGTATGAGTTCTGTTGGCTTCGTTACTCAAAAATACAAGATGGGGCTTTTTGTTTGACCTGTATTTTGTTCCCATCATCAGATGGATTAGGAAAGGGTGGTCATCAAAATCCTGGGAAATTAGTTATTGAAAAATATAATAATTGGAAAAAAGCCAAAGATTTGTTTAAGAATCACCAAAATAATCATTACCACAAACTTAGTTAAATTAAATTTGATAGTTTTTTAGCAATTAGAATTAAAAAAGTTGAACCAATTGACAGACAGATAAATGAAGCTTTAAAAAAATAAATTAATGACAACAGAGATCATCTCCGTCCAATTATTAAAACCATTTTATTTTGCGGAAATCAAGGAATTTCGTTAAGAGGGCATAGAGATTCGGGAGTTATTGATCTAAATGAACATGCTAGTACAGAAAATCAGGGAAATTTCAGAGAGCTAATTAAATTTCGAATCGATTCTGGTGATAATGTGCTTAAAAATCATTTAGAAACTACCAATAAAAATTCCACCTATTTAAGTCCATCGATCCAAAACGAAATACAGTAAAACCTCTTTATAACGGACCCTCTGTTAGACGGAATCCTCCTTATAACGAAAAATGTCAATAGTCCGGGTTCAAATAATATATAAAATTGAACTCTTTAAGACGGAACCTCTACAAAACGGAAACGGAAAATGTTCGTAATCCAGTTAGTAAAAATACCCTCTGTTAAACGGAAAATAGAATTATTTAAAGATAAATTACATACACTTACATAAGTATAAACTATATGTATGTATATAATATATATATGTTTGGTAACTAATAATCTAAACTTTATCTGTCATTATCTGAAATATCATTCGACGGTATCGTTTCACGATTGTCATACTATTGTTTATTATTAAAGATTAGATATGTATGTATGTACATGCCTTTAATGTATGAACTGCTCAATCGTTTTTTTCTGTTGAATTGTTCATATCGTTTAGTAAACGTGCAGTGCTCACCGTCTGTTTTATCGTTGTGATTTGGTTTGTTTTCGTACTGTTTTTAGTTTTTACTCGCTAATATGCCACGTACAGCTCTGACTTTGTCAGATATAGTTAAACTAATCGAGTTGAAGGAGACACAAAAACTAAGTACAAAGGAACTTATTACTAGATTTAAATGTGGAAAAACTCAAGTTTACGACGCAATAAAAAATAAAGAAAAGATTATGGATGAATGGGTAAATAGCAAAAACTCGGGAAAGAGTAAAAGAGTGAAAACTCCCTTATTTGAACAAATTGATCAAAAGTTGTATGAGTGGTTTGTCAGCGTTCGGTCAAAAAATTTGCCAATTTCTGGTCCAATTATACAAACAGAAGCTATGGAATTGGCTGAAAAAATGAATGTCAAAGATTTCAAGGCTTCGAACGGTTGGCTAGAAAAATTTAAAAAAAGGCATGACATTGTTTGGAAACAAGTTAGTGGTGAGGCTAATGACGTTAATCAAGAAACTGTGGTGGAGTGGAAGCAAAAAATATCAAGACTCATTGCTGGGTATGAAGCAAAAGACGTGTACAATGCTGACGAAACGGGTCTTTTTTTCAGAGGTATTCCTACTAAGTCACTGTTGCCCCCAAATACCACATCGATCACCCAACCAATGGATCAAGGAGTGATTTACACGTTCAAGTCTTACTATCGTAAGTTTTTGCAACAATCGTTATTATGCAAGATGGATAATTGTTCTTCAGCTCATCAGCTCGTTAAATCAATAAGTGTTTTGGATGCAGTTAATTGGAATGAATGAATGAATGTGTACAAAATTGTTTTCATAAAGCCGGGTTTTTTTCAAATGAAGCAACCAATACCAATGGTATAGATTTACCAGAAAATGCTTTGAACGATATTAATGAGGAATGCGTTATAGCCAATGTTGATGTAGAAGATTTTATTACATTTGACAGTAAATTAGAGACGCACCAAACTTACGATTCGGCGATTTTTTTTAGAAGAAGAAGAAAAAGAAGTAGAAAACGATGATAATGATGATAGTGAGACCAACGATGAGCCAAAAATAAAAGATTTTAAAACTGCAATCTCATACTTAGAAGAATTACAAAGGTTTTCAGCCACCATTTCAAATACAAATCTATTAGAACTTACAACAAAAGCCCGAGAATGTGCTGAACGTGCTGCTCTTAAACACAAAAAGCAATCAAATATTAAAAACTATTTTTCTTAATTATAAAAAAGGTACAAACATTACTTTCATTTTTTTTTAGTATTATACAAATTTAAATATTAAGTCATATATGTATAATAATCTTATTGTATAAATTTACGTTTTACGAGGTATTTACCTAAAATATGATATAATTGTTTTAATACATACGTACACATACATAAATTCTTGAAACATTTTTTTTTTACCTCTCTAAGACGGAAAACTCTTTATAACGGAAAAATTGTTGGTCCCAAGCGATTCCGTTATAGAGAGGTTTTACTGTAATATCAATCTGCAATAAATTAATTCTAGAACATTTGGTAGCTAATGTTAATAAATCTAAATCGTTCACCATTTTGGCTGATGAAACGATAGATATTTCTAACAAAGAACAAATGACATTATGTGTTCGTTATGTCGATTTAAATGCAAATAAAATTAGAGAAGACTTCCTACAATTTATCAAAATATGTCAGAAAAAGAATTATCTGATGTTATATTGAAAAGTATGACTGACTTCGGACTAAATACTAAATATTTAACTGGGCAAGGGTACGACGGAGCTGCAGCAATGAGTGGCAGATATAATGGCGTACAAAAATTTATTTGCGATGAACATCCTAGTGCCTTTTATTTACATTGCAGTGCGCATTGTTTAAATTTAGTTATAACTTTTAGCTGTAAAGTACCAGAGGTAAGAAATTGTGTGGGTACTATACAAAGTGTAAGTAATTTTTTCGGTTATCCAAAAAGGCAAAGTATTTTGCAATTATTAATAGTAGAAATATTTCCACAGACT